GTTTTTGTTTTTGTTTTTGTTTTTGTTTTTGTTTCTAATGAAAGTACTAGGGATTGAACCCAGGACCTCATGCATGCTAGGCCTGTACTCTACCACTGAGCTACATTCACCCTCCAGTTTTTTCTTTTTTAGATGAATTGGTAAATTTTTTTTATTTTCCCCTCAGTTTACTATTTTTCCACCAAACTTCTTATGAACTTGTATTACTATGAAAAAGGATTCATTCAGATGGATTTATGAACAATGAGCAAGTAGGGTATTTAGATACTGTTTTTGAAATTGATGTTGAAGGAAATAACTATAATTTGTAATATACCCTTTGGAGTCTAGATAGAAAAAAAAGCATATTGAGCTATCTACTGTTTTATTACTTAGAACAGTGATTTGAAATTTAGTTCGATTATTTTTAAATTGTGTATGTATACAATTTGCAGAATGATATTCCATCTGAAAACACTTTGAAACACATGAGTTCTCATGCTGGATTTTCTGAGTGTCACAAAACCTCTATTCCTCTTCATTCAGAACAAGGTGAGTGTTTGACTACATGAATTATGTTAGCAAACATACTAATTTAAGCTTTAAATGTATTTTATGTATGTCACACGCCTGAGCAGTGGATGTTTTGGGAGACAGAAAATAAAGATTCCAGTCCATCGTTGTTGCAATTAACCTTGAATGAAACATAATCCTAACATTTTTTTTCTTTTATAAATTGTTTAGTCCTAAAAGATGAAATCCAAAGACTTGGTTTTTACAGATCTGCTGATTTTAACTTTTACAAATGAATCTTTTGTGTTTTAATCTGTATAGTCATTTACTCAGCTTATTTTTCTAATTTAACTTTCAAAAATAGCTAATATATTTATTTGGTTCAGAATTAAAATACACACACACACATATACACAAGAATTTTGAAAATCAGTCTTAGTCTCTCAACTCCAATCCCATGTGTAGCCATGTTAATTTTGTTTTTCCTCTTCAGTTTCCATGCTTACACAGTCATATATGACAATACAGTCTTTTCTACCTCTCATCTTTTACACAAAAGGTAGCATACCATACATGTTGTCCTGCACTTTTAATTTTTCATTTAAAAATTAAATGCCCTGGAGATGTTTCCATATGTTGCTTTTTTTGAGTCATAGTTATTATATGCACATACACTGACTATTTAGCTTTTCAGTCATGCACATACAATCTTTATGAAGTTCCTTAAGAAAAGCCTCACCATCTTTTCTTTCCCAAGTTGGATTTGTTTGAGGAGGGCAAGTTGGTTTAACATTCAGAAATATGATTAAGGCATAATAGCAACAGATTAAAGGGGAAAAAAATCATATGATCATCTTAATAGCTGCAGAAAAGGCATTTGATGAAATTCAGCATCATTCATGATTAAACTTACAGGAAAGTAAGAAAAGATTGGAGTTTCCTTAAACTGAATAAAGGACATAAATAAAAACTTATCACATATACCATACTGCACAGTGAAATACTGAAAGCTCTAGGTGGAGGACAGGACAAGTATTCTGGCTGTTATCATTTCTATGTAGCATTCTAGCCAGAGGGAAAAAGGAAGAAAAATAAATGGAAGAAGGATTAGGAGGAAAGAAATAAAACTCATCATTTTCAGATAACATGGATATTATTTCTAAAGTTAGCATGCCTACAATTTTGTATCCTCTTATTTCCGTTTTAGGCAATAGCTATTGACTTCCCATTAAAGAAGGCAAGAATTGAACTACCCTCCTCCTTTCCAAACACATATCCACACACAAATGTCTGTACCCTTTCCCACCAGTGTAGTTATATCATAATTTTGATTAAATCAACACTAGATTCTTTCGATCTGTTCTTTTTGCCCCTTACACTTGGGATACAACTTTCGTTCTAAGATTTCACTTTACAATTCATTATGAAGTTTTTCCCTTATTTTTTCATTAAGTTAATTTTAAGTTAATGAAAAATTTAACATCCTCACTTTTTTTTGGAAATAAGCTTGATTCTGAAGTTTGTTTAGCATAAACAAACAAAATATGGCAAATGTGGCATCTTAAATTGGGGGAAAAGATGAACTATTCTGTTTTTCTATTACTATAAAATGATTTATGTGTAAGATTATTTATTGCAACATTGTTATAGCAAGAGATTGAAATCAGACCAAATGTTTATCGGTAGGAGTTTGGTTAAATAAATTATTGTATGTCCATTGTATGAAGTTTAATATAACTGTCAACAAAATAGAATAGAGAAGTACTCTGTGCATTGATATGGAAAGATTTCTAAGCTTAAAGTTAAAAAACTGCCAACAAAACCCCCTAAGATATATAATATAAATCATACTAGCACTTATGTTAAAAAAAAAAAAAGCAGGGGTATGTATACAAACACAAAATATCTTTGGAAGGATACATAAGAAATTGGAGGAAAAATACTGCCTTTTCACAGAAATAAATTGAAAAATTTTGATATTTTGTCAGGAGACCCATGACCTCATGTAACTCTTAATGTTCAGCAGTGTTAGGGAGAGGAAAAGTTATCTTAGGAAAGTTATATTAAGGCTGGAAACACTTTGTGTTTGGTTAGTTGGTCATAAAATTTTTCAGTTGTTTAACGTTTTTATTTCTTTAAATTTTGTTTTAGTGAAAAGTAGCAGTAGAAGGCCGTCTACAGAAGAAACTCATGAAGTAGATTCCAAAGCAGCTTTACTACCGGTTTGTACATTTCAATTAAACAAAGGCATATTTTAAAATACATAGTTACTAGAGAAGAGCTAAAGATGGTGATATTTTATTTGAGATTATATCTAACTTTCAAAAAAATTCTGCCTTAGAAAACTGACCTCAGTGCTTGGTAGCAGTTACAGAAAATAGTTTCTTCCGGTAGTGATTAGTGAGAAATTTTTAAAGAAAAAATGTATGCAAAAGAAAGAAAGGCAGGAATCTCTGAATTGAAACTAATTATATAAAGTCACTCCCAGCCAGTTGACATAATACTTGATTTTACAAATAGTCTTTAAAAGCTGGCTCTGGCAACCAAGACACATAGCTTGGAGAACGCAAATAAATTCCTCCCTTATAGTGGAGTATAGAAATCAGTGCTCATAATTATGATCCTAGATCATCAAGAACTTACTAACTTGGCCCTGTCCCACTGGACTGAATGTCACACACACACTTACACCTTCTCCCTCACTCATACCCTGCCAAGCAATGTGACCATGAGGCCCTAGAGGTTCTGTAGAAGACAACAAGTTCATTTATCCAGTTTTCTTTAGCCCCAGGTGGGACAAGCAAAGGTAGTGGAGAAGATCCCAGGAAGCTGCTGGGACAGGTGGGGGAGGAATCCCAGGTTTTGCATGGAACTGGGCACTGTAAGTTCAGTGTGTGAATGGGATTTGGATTCATCTCCATGATAAAATATCCCTTGGATATTTTAGTCTGTATGTTCGTACACCAGTGTTTTATCTCACCCTGTTAAAGCCTTTGATCTGCTGCTGCTATTGCTTGGCGTATTGCCACCATCTTATGCAGGAAGGAAACAAGAGGATCTTCTAAGTTGATCAGATGTCCATTCTTATTAAAACATTTTTGAAGCTTGAAAAAAAAATACTATGCTGTAAGGAGATAGATTGTATTATTAAAAAGATTATTTAAATAGGGAAAAGGGATTAGTGAATACAGTTCCACGGTAACAATTCTTCCTTTCTGGAAGGACTCATCCTGAACCTAAACTGCACAATTTTTCCACAAATAAAGTTCCATTGAAGATGACCTCACATTGCCAAATTACAAAACTCGTGGGAGCCATCTTATACAAACAGTACTAGATATCTAATAACTCAAGATAATAGAATTGTTGGTTGCAGAGATTATAAAATAAGTATGATGAAAGCCATAAGAGAAAGTATTACATATTTTTTTAAAAAGTAAGAAGTACTACTCAGAAATGCTGGAAAATTTGAAAAACAATTAGAAATTAAAAAAAAAACCTCAATGTGGATTAAAATAGACAGATTAGGCACAGAGAGCTTTACTGAATTGGACCAGAATGTAATATAAAATTATAATTACATGGAAAATGTGTTAAGCATAAAAAGATATGGAAAATACCTCTAAATTGGCCTTGAGAAGAATAGACAGAATTTGAAGAGACTATAAATGACTTAGAATTTTCCAAATGGATGAAATATATGAAAATTCAAATTTGGGATACATAAGTCCCAAGCTGGGGAGGTAAAAGTAAATTCACATCTAGAAATATAATTATAAAACTGCAGAATAAAGACTACTGTACACACATAAAAAAGCTTCAATGAAATATGCCTGTTATTAGTGATTTCTTTGTTCACAGTTTGCATGATTTTGATTTTTCTCTTTATACTTTGGTGTGTTTTTCTTTTGGCAACTGGCATAATATTTTTTTGAGTCATAGAAACAAATGTGTATTTTAAGAAAACAAAATTGTCAACAGAAACAAAGAACTAGCTAGACTATGGTTATGTTGTAGAAAATAACACCCATGAGTTCTTTATTCTACCATATGGGATGGCCTCATAGTAGCTTTTATATCCATTTTTTAATTTTATTAGTTCAGTAGTATGAAACAAATCATATTAACTTTTCAGCCCTTCATTCTTAAAACATGCTATAGGATACAAAACAGATAAAGTTATGCTTCATCTACAGACTTTTTCCATTAATTTTTGTTTTTGTTTTGTTTCTGACTAAAGGATTGGTTACAAGATAGACCAGCAAACAGAGAAATGTAAGTAAGCCCTTTCTTATCATTAAGTCTGAAAACTATCATAGTTATTGAATGTTTTCTTTTTTCTGCTCTTAGCATCATCTCTTTAACACTTTAAATGTTGATGATTATTTATTTTGGCATCTCCTGTCTTTAAATAGAGGACATTGAGGAATCATTTATTTTGAGTTAACGTATACATTTAAATTTATGGTTTTACATAGTTATACTCTAATTATAGTCAGACTATAGTTATAACTCTACTAAAATTTTCCTTGTAATGATACAGTTAAGATTTTATTATTCAGTTGTTCCCAGCTTGCTTTTGAATAAACTTGTTCAAAGACCTAGTTTGATGCTTCAATTTCTCTGCCCATTGTTCTCATCAGCAGGTCTCACATCTCCTTTTGGAATGCACTTTAATAATTACAACAGTAATGCACAGTGTACTTTAGAAAGCCTGCGTACAGGGAAATCCACTAGAAAGCTGATGTTGTAATCCAGAAAGTGGAAACAAAAAGGCAGTCTGACAAGTTGTCATCCCCAGAAAGTGAACATTTTCAGTGTAGGTTAAACATAAAGAACCAAAGATAATCTCTGTTTTTCCAACCTTGAAATTAGTATTTTAGGATTCCAAAGGAAATTTTAAAAAATCTTGTTTTGACACCCACTTGATACTGGAAGCATGGCAGGGTTACTCTCTGACATGGACTACTTGAGAAGTGAAGCCAATTTGAGGGAAAATACTATATATTACACAGTGTTTTCCCTAGTTCCTTCTCTGTATCAGAATATATGTGAATATATAGAGAAGAAAAACCAGTGGCTACTTGCAGTTGTTCAAATTTGGGGGGTATCCTGCCCTGAATGGCACTTGGAAGACCTGTTTATAATCAGACCTTTTCAAAGAATAATGTCTTGTATAACCAGAACTGTAGGATATAAATACAGACTAGGTACTTGAAGCTGATGTTAATCCAGCTAACTAGAGAACATTGACTTATAAGATGCTGACCCATAGAAGTACCCAGAAAGATGGAGTTGGCCAGTACTCTGTGTGCTAAGAAAAAAGAGGTTTAGCAGCAGCAGAAAAGGGGACGAGGCTAGGGTCAAAATACTCTCTATGAGGAAATGTTTACATCATTAAGATGAAAACCAATAGGAAACGTCAGGATCAGAGAGAATGTCAGAAGGAGATTATCAAGGTCTTCTACTCCAGAGCTTCTTTCTGGATCTAGTCCTTTTAGTCCTGAGCAAGGCCACGTAACTGTATAATGGGAGAGCTAAGCCTCTAATCCATTTTTCTTGATTCCCATTCCGTTCTCCTTCCACTACACCTGTTTGTCTAATTTGCAATGGAATCTGTGGATTTAATAGAACTGCCACTTGCTACCAATATACATTGTAATAAATAAATACATTCAACATTGGAAAATATTTTTTTGAACATTAACATTTAAGTTTTGCAAAATTATGTCTGTTTGCTGTTCTCCCAGTTCTTTGCATCAGTTCTATTGCAGTACTTTTAAAATCTGCAGTGTCATTTCAAGGCATTGTTATAGTACTGGAATGAATCTCCACAAATAGAGGAATCATGGAATATTTTACTCTGTTAGTACTGAACCTTCAGTTTGGCACCAAACTACTAATAATATTTATGTAGGCATAAATTGGAGGTACAAGTTGTTGATAAAGTATATGCATATGGATGTAGATATGTCCGTGTATGGATTTGGCATTGGCTTAAGGGAAATAGCAAGTATTCAAACAAAAGTGAATTGCAATCTCAGAATGCCTTTAATAATGTTATATTTAATAATTATAATAACTTCATAAAATAAAAAATTTTGTGGTAGCCAAAACTAAAATTGTAACATAATTTTTGGTGTTTCTTTAGGCCATCTGAAGAAGGAACATTAAATGGTGAGTCCACAGGGTAGATTTAATGTGAAAGAGTGAGGATTGTATATGATCTATTTTAGCCAATACCACATTGTCCTAGGTAAGAAATTTTGGACTTCGTATTTGAAAAAGCCATAGTAGTAGAAAGTTCTCCCGGCTCGTTTCTCTTCATTGTAGGTGTTTCACAAATACAAAACCTCACCATGTGAATGATCTTTTTATAGTCTCCCCCCTCCCTTTCATCCTTGCTACCTCAGTCTCCTTCACTTACATTCCCTGTTTTAGTGGGTGGTACTCTTTCAGTCAGCTATGTGAAAACTGAGGGAGGTATTCTTGACCCCTTGACCTCGCACTCATAAAGTCCTGTTCTGTTTACCTCTTAAACAGCTCTAGAATCCACCCTCCACTCTACATTTCACTGCTGCTTTCAGTTCAGACCTTCATCAGTTTTAAAACCTTTTATTGATACATATAATACGCATACAGAAAAGTACAGCTGATCCTCCACTTCAGGGAACTCTCACTAAATGAGCATTCCCATGTAATCAGGACCCAGATCACAAAACATGTATTGCCAGTTTCTTAGCTCCTGTGTGCTCTTCTTCTTATAACTCTGCCCCTTAAATGACACAGTAGTTTTGCCTGTGTATGTGTATGTGTCTTTAGCTAGCTAGCTATGTTTTATTTGTTTTATATATATATAATATATAAGTGGAATCATACAGTATGTACTCTTCTTGTGTTGGCTTCTTTCTCCCAACATATGTTTATGAGTGTCACAAATACTGCTGTGGGTAGTGATGGTTTGTACGTTCTCACTACTACGCAGTATTTTCTTGTATGACTATACTGAATTTATCCATTCTACTATTTGATGGGTATTTCTATAGCTTCCAGTGTATGGCTATTATGAATAGTGCTGCTCTGAGCATTCTTGTTCATGTTGTTTGGTAAACATATGCAGTTATTTCCTGTTGAGTATATACCTAGGAGTGGAATTGCTGGTGGCAGGGTATGGTATGCATATGTTCACATTTAGTAGTTACTACCAAGTAGTTTTACAAAGTGGTTGTGCTAGTTTGGGCTCCCTTCCAGTCTGTTTTTCTCTTCTACCACCAAAATGATTCTTTTAGAAGATCTGATCTTGTCATTCCTCTGCTTTACATTTTTGCACTGTCATTAGATAAAATCCAATGTCCTTTATTAACATGACATATTTCTTAACAATTAACAAATGCTCTACGTCTTCAGCTTTACCTCCTACTGGTATGCCTATACTCTTGCTCATTAATTTGCAATCTTAATTGCGTATCCAAATACTTGTAGAGCATCACTTGTATGATGACACATACCTACAGAATTAGAATATTTTGGTATGAGAAATGGGTAGGTATATGTTGAAAAAGTCTCACAGATGATTCTGATAAATAAACAGATATGTATATAAAATTAGTATTGAAAACCACTCTTCTATTCATATCAAACAGCTTGCAATTTCTTAAGTGTAGCATGCAATTTAATAGTTCCTCTCCTTTGCAAATGTTGCCCTGACCACACCATTACCTTCCAAAGTACTCTTTTTCTCCCTTCTCTTCCTCTGAGACAGCCTTCAACCTCTCTCAGTATGTGTGTGTGTTGGGTGACGGGGACCTTCATGTACTTTTGCCCTTTTGCAGTTACCACTAATCTGGCATAATGGAATAGGGTAATAAAGCACATGGTGGACATAATTCATTACTTGTGTTTTCTGTTTTTCTGAAGAGAGCTTACATGAAGGAAATTCAGGATGATTATATGAGAAAGCCTGAGGAAAAATTTATGCTGCATTAGTACTTCTTAAAAGGGTCTCATTTGTTTATTTGCTGTTTCAGGTCTTGCTTCTCCATTTAAGCCAGTTATGGATACAAATTATTATTACTCAGGTTAGTAATATTAAAAACAAAATTTAGTAATATTTTGAGCTTTTAGGGATTTCATTATTTCTCTTTTATTTCTGTGCAGCTGTGGAAAGAAATAACTTGATGAGATTATCCCAGAGCATTCCATTTACACCTGTGCCTCCAAGAGGTAAGTCCATATAGTAAAGAAATAAAAGAGAAAATAAACCCTTAGTTAATATGAAGTTTTTAAAAGAAGGATCACATTAAGAAGTGTTAATTTCATGTAAATTTTAATTAGCCTGATTACTGCAGAAGTGAGGTTTGTTTAATAGAAGAAGAACATGTCAGCAGTATTGGTTTTTCTATTTCTGACATCCAGAGGCAGTGGTATATTCTCATTCAGAAAGGTTCTTGATCCATTATTTAGTAATTACAGTTAGATAAATTGACATCACAGGATTTGTGGAACAGATCTAATCTCCAGTCTAAAAGTTTAACTTAGTAATGTTTAGAAGTCCAGTTGCTTTCTAAAAGTTTTTCTTGAAAAGTTCACGATTCCAAAAATGCTTATCATTACCAAATACGTGTGAATTTAGAGATATTATTAGATTCTTGGTTTCTGAGTATTTCTTGACCTTGAACTTCTTTTATAAAACTACATCTTAATCTCATCTTCTATTCCTTGCTTAATCTTAACCAAAGATACCTGCTAATTTCTGTCTTGTCATTTTTAGAGTCTTAATTTGGCCTTAACATGTGTCCATTCATGTTACAGGTGAGCCTGTCACAGTGTATCGCTTGGAAGAGAGTTCTCCCAACATACTGAATAACAGCATGTCTTCTTGGTCACAGCTAGGCCTCTGTGCCAAAATAGAGTTTTTAAGTAAAGAGGAGATGGGAGGAGGTTTACGAAGAGCTGTCAAAGTACAGTGTACTTGGTCAGAACATGATATCCTCAAATCAGGACATCTTTATATTATCAAATCTTTTCTTCCTGAGGTGATTAACACATGGTCAAGTATTTATAAAGAAGATACAGTTCTGCATCTGTGTCTCAGAGTAAGTGCTAGTGAATGCAAACAGTGAAGCATTATTTGAGCTTCATGTTTTTATTTCTAAAGTATGATTAAGTCTTAATTTCAGTGTTGAACAAGCATTTGTCTGTTCTGTAGGAAATTCAGCAACAGAGAGCAGCACAAAAGCTCACATTTGCCTTCAACCAAATGAAACCGAAATCCATACCATATTCTCCAAGGTAAATCTTTTAACATTTCTGGGATCTTTTAGTGTTATGTGGATAGCGTTCTCTTTTGACCTGCTTTATTGAAGCTGAATGTTTCATTATTTATCCATTTTAAAGATCAATTAGATCTTTATTAACAAAACTACTAGTAATATCTGTAACTATTTTTCATAAGGTTCCTTGAAGTTTTCCTGCTGTATTGCCATTCAGCAGGACAGTGGTTTGCTGTGGAAGAATGTATGACTGGAGAATTTAGAAAATACAACAATAATAATGGTGATGAAATTATTCCAACTAATACACTGGAAGAGATCATGCTAGCCTTTAGCCACTGGACTTACGAATATACAAGAGGGGAGTTACTGGTACTTGATTTACAAGGTAAACTTATTGAAATATTGCTAAAGTGAAATTGTGCAGTACTTTCTCACCTATTCATGTGTTACGAACAATATACAGAAAATCTGCCAATTTATATATAAGTAAAATCTTAGGTTAATGGAAGCTGTTAAAAAAGCAAGTGAATAACAGACATAGCATAAAGCCATGAGGGCTCTGAAGAGTGGGCTCTGGCTATCTTAACTGCTATTTAGGTAATACAGATATTTTAATAAGGAAAAACATGTGAAATCCCCTGTTCTAGTCTTAGATGTGCAGCCTTAGTCTCTTAAAAAGTATAAAGACCATTTCTTTAAAACAATAACAAGTATCTATTGTTCCTGGTGTTTATGTCATCTATTACTGTGAATTAAACTACCTAAACATTTAATGGATTAAAACAACCATTTTATTTGCTTATAGTTCTTTGGTTAAGGAAATTGGACAGGGCATGGTGGGGATGGCTCATCTCTGCTGTCCCGTTGGAAGGTTCAAATGGCTGCAGATTAGTTTGGACAGCTTGACTGGAGCCATGTGTCTTGGGTCTCTGTTCACTAACAACTGAATTCCTCAGTTCTCCACCAAGTGATTGCTCCTCATGGCTGGCTAGCTTAGACTTTCTTGTAGCATGGTAGTTTCAGGCAATTAGACTTGTTACATGACAGCTGGCTTCCTCCAGAGAGAAAGCAGAAACTCTTAGGCCCAGAACCGGCCCAGATCCCTCCTACCATATTTTATGGGTCCAGGGAATTAGTAAGAACAGCTCAGATTCAGAAGGTAGGGAATAGATTCGAGCACTTGTAAGTGGAGCGGCATGCGTGTATACGAGGGAAAAGCTGATCACAGCCATCTTTGTAGACAGACTGTTTCATACATGTGAAAGAAGAAAAATTGTGGCTAGGAGAGGGCAGGTTTGCTTAGAGTAATATCTCTACAGCTCCACAGCAGGGTCTAAGGAGAATAAAATGGAGCAAGTTGCCAGCTCTGCCTGGATGATACTTTCGCATTATAGGTTCCTTTTTTTGTCCGCTAAAGAGAAGCTTTGATTTCAAATGTCAACACAGACCAGATTTCAAAATTACATAAAAACAATTGTTTGGAATATTTTTTACTTGATGACTTCTTTCATTATTATAGATACTCATAGATGTAAGAGATTTGTTGAAAAGTAAATAGTTGGTATTGATTCAGCTCAAGAAAGAAAGTATATATAGAAATAGCTATCCTTTTTTCAATAGTTTATCATTTTACATAAATGACTAAGTGATATATATATAGTGAAAACTCTGATGTATGTTATTAGACAGGTCAATCCAATTAAGTAAAAATCTTAGTTAAGTTATATTCTTAGATAAGTATCATTTAATTGTGCACAGGACATGCACAGGAAGTGAGACCAAACAGATTTTGTCTGAACTGTTAAAAGATGGCAATTATTTTTAATAAATAGTAATTATGATGTTATCTACATAATTAATATGTTCATGGAGCCATTTTTTTCATAGAAATATTTTAGACAATTAGTACAAACAAGTTAAGCAATACAGAAATATATAAAAAAAATGCAAAATGTTCATCTTTACTACTTCTCTACCTTTATGAAGACAAATATACAATTTTTTTTCTTATTTTTAAACACTTTGTTCTGTGTTATGGTGATTTTCCTCCAACTAGGATCATGCTGTGTATGAGTATATATGAATGTATGTGTGTTTTATTTTTTTTCCCCCAGCTAACAAAATATCATGGACATCTTGTGGGTCGTTATTGATAAATCTGAGTCATTCCTGCATGATAGTCTGTAGTAGGCATAGCATGATTAAATCTTTTGCAAGATGGTCACCCTATTTTTAGTTTTAGAGATGAATGTAATTTTAATAGCGACTGCCAGGTTAGTTTTCCAGAAGGTTGTAGGAATTTAATACTCAACACTGTGTATAAAATGCTCATTTCTTCACCATCTCTCCAGCACTGCATAGTCTTAATCTTTGCCAATCTGAGTAGAAATTAGTATCATGTTTTAATTCTAGTTTTTCCTATTGTGAAATTCTAACCATTTTATTAGATTTCATTCTAATGGGTTAAATATTTATGATTATCCAAATATCAGTAGTTGTTCTTTCTTTCTTTATGTAAATAGATAGATGAGAGAGACTGAAAAGAGTTAACCAGACTTTTTAAATAGCTTTCCAGAGGGCTAGAGTTGAAGGAAGATGTTCACAACCTTATTCTTTATGTAATTTAAATCTTTTGCAAGGTGTATTCATGTTAGTCTGTGATTTTAAAAAATCCAAAACACTTTTAAAATGGCCTGTAGATTATGCCTTCATGTGCCTGATTGTTCTTTGCTAACTAAGGTGAAACAAGAGCAGATTGTAAATAAGGAGATATTTGCTTGCAGCCTTGACCTTGTTGCATCAGAAACTGGTGCCATCAGGAGCTTACATGCCTTCCAACCAACTCGGATATTTATCTGTTGTTCATGTCGCAGGAACTGTGTTTCTGGTGCCATATTGAAGTCATAAGTCAAGTAGTGAAATATCAAGGGAGAAAAACTACACTCTTTTGAATAATTTAATGTTGTGTGATTGTTGATGATGCTGTAGAATCGCTCATGACTTTATTATGCATATGTCAGTAGTTATGCCAATTATGTAATATAAATTGTCCTTTTTATATATACATATAAAGGCGTGGGTGAAAATTTGACTGACCCGTCTGTGATAAAGGCAGAAGAAAAGAGGTAATAAGTTTTAATAATTTCATTAAGACATATTTTTATAATTTCAAATTCTGCATTTCTGTTTGTGTTAACTGATTCTTTTTTTTTTTTTTTTTACTACCAATTCCACAGATCCTGTGATATGGTTTTTGGCCCAGCAAATCTAGGAGAAGATGCAATAAAAAATTTCAGAGCAAAACATCACTGTAATTCTTGCTGTAGAAAACTTAAACTTCCAGGTAAACATTTTCATAATCAGTGTAATATATTAATTGTTAGCAAAGTTGATTACTACAGAGCTTCACAAGGCCAGAGAGGCACAAATAACATATTGTTGATTATAGATGGATCTATGCTTTCTTTCATTACTTATAAAAACACTGAGTTCATTCATTTAATACATATTTATTATGTGTCCGCTGGCAGCTAGATATTGACAGTACAATAGTGAATGAGACAAACAATGAAGTTTAGCCAAATCTTGAATACTGATAAAAGTAACAGAATTACTGGACTGTCATAAATGCCAGGCAGAAAAAATAGAACAGATAAGCAGATCTCTTAACACAAACTTAGACGTCAGGGAATGCTACCTGGGGGACTAACAGATTTGCCTAAAACTGAAGAATGAATAGACTTTCAACTTAGCTTGAAAAAGAGTTGGGAAAAGAGTATTCCGTGAAACAGGAACAGGAACTGCAGATATAGTCTCTCATGATAGTAACCATCATTATATTTGAAGAATTACAAATTATTATTGAATTGTAAGTTTTATCACAAACCAGTGGTTTTCATCCTTTGGTGTGCATCAGGATCCCCTATTGGACTTTTTCAAAATTACAAGTGCCTGGCACTCACCCTTGAGCTGTATTTTTAAAAGTTCCTCCCATTGTGATGAATAATGGAGTAGCTAAGAGCTTTAACTTGGAGCCAGACTGCCAGGCTCCCGAGAATACCTACATCATGTAGGTTTGTTATTTTTTGTTTGCTTGAGAATTAAATGAGTTAGTATTTGTGAAGTACTTAGAACAGTGCCAGGCAAATAGTAAGCATGTTAATGGTACTGGTTTTAAATTTTTTAAATTGGTCATTGTTGAGTATACAGAAATACCTTTTTTTTTTGTAGATTGACCTTGTATCTCGCAACCGTGCTAATAAGCTCACTTAGTTCTAGGAGGTTTTTTGTTTGTTTTTAGCTTATTGTTTGTAAATTCCTTGGGATTTTTTGTGTAGGTAATAGAGACAGTTTTATTACTCCCTTTCCAAGCTGTATGCCTTTTTATTTCTTCTTCTTGACTTTTTGCACTGGCAAGGAATTCCAGTACAGTGTTGAATAGGAATAGTGAGAATAGACGTGTTCTTCCACACCTCATTTCTCTAAGATGCTTATCCTGAATGGACATTGAATTTGTCAGATGTTTTTTCTGCGTCTATTTATGTGGTTTTTTTTCTTTAATTAGTATTACATTGTATCACATTGATTTTTTTAAAATGTTGAGCCAGTCTTGCATTCCCACACTCTACTTTGTCATGATATATTTTTTTATGTATTGTTGGATTCGATTTTCTAATATTTTGTTGATTTTTTTGTATCTGTGTTCATGAAGACTATTGGTCTATGGGTTATTTCCTTATTCTCTGTTTGTCTTGTTTGGTGTTAGGATAATACTGACCTTAAAAATAAGTTGGATGTATTTACACTTCTGTTTTGGGGAATAGATTATATAGAATTGATATTATCTCCACTTTGATAAAATTGTCTATCAAAACCATTTCAGCATATAGTTTTCTTTTTCAGGTGCTTTTTAGCCAAGAGTTTAATTTTTTTAAATAGATATAGCAGATGTCAAGGTTATCAGGGGGTTTTTTTTGAGTGACTTTTAATAATTTGTGTCTTTCAGGGAATCGGTCTTTTTTTTTTCCACTTTTATTGAGAAATAATTGATATATATGTCTGTATAAGTTTAAAGTGTACAGCATGATGGTTTGACTTACATATATTGTGAAATAATTACCACACTAGGTTCAGCTAACATCCATCTTCTTATATAGATACAATAAAAAGAAAGTAAAGGAAAAAAAATTTTTCCCCATGATAACTCTTAGAATTTACCCTCGTAACAACTTTTCTGTGTATCATACAATGTGTACCTTTTGACTGCCTTTCCCTCCCCCCACCCTCTCCCTGTGGTAACCACAAGTCATCTCTTATTCTGTGAGTTTGTTTTAGGTTGCATGTGTAAGTGAAATTGTATAGTATTTGTCTTCATTTTATTTAAATTGTCAAAGTTTTCGACATACCATTAATTATACTATTTTATTTTTTAAAGTGTCTTTGGGGGAGTGGAGTCTGTGGTGAATCCTCTCTTCCATTATGATAATTTGCACTTTTTGTAAGGTGTATGCACTTTCTTGATACTTTCAAAGAACCAGTTTTTTCCTTCATTGTTTTACTCTCTTTTCTGTTGTCAGTTTCATTGATTTCTTCATTATTTCCATGTTTCTGCTTGCTGTGGATTTGGGTATTTTTTTTTCTCTAGTTTGTTAGGGTAAAATTTTAAATTACTGATTTGAGACATTTTTTCTAACAAAATATTTAGTGCTAGAAATTTCTCACCAAGCGTTTTGTTAGCTGCATCCCATAAAGTGTGGTATGTTTTATTTTTGTTTTTAAAAATATTTCTTACTTCCCTTGACATTTCCTGTTTGACCTATGGATTATTTATTTCAAATATCTTTTTAAATTCTCAAATATTTGCAAGTTTTCCTGGTATCTTTCTGTTACTGGCTTCTTGTTTAATCCCATTATGATAAGAGAACATACTTTGTATGATATCAATTTAAAAAAGCTTTTTTAGCCTTAAAAAGATAATAGTCTCTAGTGAATGTGGCACATACACTTGAAGAGAATATTCTCTTGTTGGATGGAGTGTTCTGTAAATATTAGTGAAGGAAAGTTTTTTGAGTGTTGTTCAGGTTTTTTATATCCTTGCTGATTTCTTTCTACTTATTCTGTTTATTACTTAGACAGGAAGTCTCTAAAAATAATTGTGGATTCATCAGCTTTCAGTTCTGTTAGTTTTTCCTCCTTCATGGATTTTTGAAGCTTTGTTCCTAGGTACATATACATTAACAGTTGTTAAGACTTCTTCGTGATTCAATTTTTGTTGTTATATAATGCCATAGTAGTTTTCCTTATTGTGAAGTCTCCCTTGTCTGATACTATCCTTAGCTTTTGATTGGTGGTTTCATCAGATATGTTTTCCCATTTTTACCGGTATATATATTAATTATATTTAAAGTAGTTTTCTTGTAGACAGCATATTCGCATCTTTTAATTGCTATTTTAGACCCTTTACATTTAACACAATTATTGGTATGGTTAGATTTAGATCTACTGTTATATTGTTTTCTGATTGCTCTCTCTAGTTTGGTTTTTTTGTTTGTCCCCCACCCCCGTTTTAGTATTGTTTTATCTTTATGTTTAGTTTTTAATGGTTGCTTTGCTTTTCTTATCTAAGAATGTGTGTATTTTGCCTTCATTCCTGAAGGATATTTTCACTGAATTGAGAATTTTAAGTTGACACATCTTTCAACACTTAAAAAAAGTATTCTGCTGTCTTCTGGCCTCTGTTATTTCTGATGAAAATTCTATGGTCATTTGAATTGTTCTTCCTTTATACATATACATGGTGTGTCATTATAATCTTACCTCCTTTCAAGATTTGTTCTTTATTTTTGGTTTTCAGCAGTTGGATTCTGCTATGTCCAGTTGTAGCTTTCTCTTTCAGGTTTAGTAAGCTTCTTTAATTTGCAAATTTACGGTTTTTTTCAAATTAGGGGAGTTTTTAGCTATTCGTCAAATAATTGTTCTGTGTCAGTTTTATTTTCATCTTTTTCTGGGTTCTCATAATAAGAATCTTAGAACTTTTGATACTGTCACCC